CCGCGGCCATTTTCCCTCCTGTGACATGTGGTCCGCGGCCATTTTCCACCCCTGACACGTGGTCGTAGGGAGGGGGACTCTCCCTCCAAGCAATAGCCGCCTCCCTGTCCTCCATGCCAGAATGGATTAACGGTAATTACATTGAACCTTATGGGGAAATTTCCTTCGGGTTGCGACCAATTCGGGGTGCGACCAGAGTCACAGAACGAATTAAGTTCGTAAACTGAGGTTCCACTGTATTACACATTTTTTTCAGATGGCTTTACGAATGGGAAAGTTCTAACATGAATTTCATTTCTCTTTTGCCAAGTTACTTTGAAAGAATTTTATTAGGCTGCTATTTTAACAATCGTGTACTAAGAGATAAAGCAAACCTGTAACACAAAAACACTGTTTTACCCATGGTTTGTTGAACAAGTCATAATAGCCACTTTCATATGCTAAGCTCTAAACCATGGTTTAAAAAAATATAACAAAGTGGGTTTCAGATAACTCAGAAACCAATAACATGTGATATGTGAACCCAGTCACAATATCCTTTAATTAGGGCTCCCCTGCCTGGGGTGCAAAAATCTGAGCCATCACTAGCAGCATAAAGATGCAGAAAACTCCCCCTCTTTCCTGCCATCTACTGGCCATCTGGATTTCTGGACCCCAGGTAGGGCAGCTTGACTTTTAGTGAAACAGTTGAATAGTTAGATGATTCGTTTAGGAAATACTGCTGAAATAATTTGTCTCAAGTATTTAACCCCATTTTAGGTGGAGCAGGGGATGCTCTTCCCACAAAAGCACAGTGTGTGTGTATGTGTGAAAGAGTGCAGGATTTTCATTTGGAAAAATGGTGCAGAGAAACAATTGACAGTTACCTTTTCATACTAGGGGTACCATATCTGGACTAAAAATATCCAGATATGGATGACCACTAAATGGACATAAAAAGTGAGAGTTTTCTGTATCTCTCTACTACCATCTAGCAGTTGCCTGTATTTCTGCAGCATGGATCCAGCAGCTCTACTTCACAGTAGCCTTCATCAGTTCAACTCCTCCACCCCCAACCAGATATTTCTAAAAGCAACTCAGTTGTCATGTCCACTTTTTACTCCATACCTTTGGGGAGTTGTGATATGGAGACCACTCATCTGTGATGGTAAACTAGAATCTGGACTGTTGTTTGCATACAAACGCGAAGGATTATTATATTGCAAATTTAAGATCTGCTTATTGTCTGTTGGACTTCCTCCGGGTGAAAAGGCCATGGGTCTTCTGTTCAGAGCAGGTCCATTATCCTAAACAGAAGAAGAAATCAAGATATGTTGTCACTGCCAGTAATAAACTACTACTTCTGTTAAATGCAGGCCCATGTCAGTAGTTTGTAAGTATCCACCTACTGCAAACAATATTTCTTTAATAATAATGGAACCTGTGAATTGGGGGACAAAGAATCAGCAAAGAGGATCTGTTTGGGCATGAGGAATATACATACATACATATATATACACATACATACATACACACATACATACATACATATATTTCATATGTGTAAGACACCTGTTGTAGAACATCTAACTTCTGTTGCATCTAAGTTAACTGAAATACACATTCAAGTTAGATCTAGCTTTGAGGAAATATTTTGTTACTAGACAAATAAGATGAGATAAATGTATGGATGGGGAGATGTAAACATGACAGCTTAACATCTGTAAAATAATAGTTTTGTTGTTGTTTTATAAGTTCTGTAATCTATTAATGTGAAGTCAAGAGGATCTTGACTATGAAACAGGCCTTCTAGGTTGTAGCCCCACATTATGGAAATGCAATTAGTTCCCACTTCTTCTCATTCAAGGAAGACCTTTAAAACCATCTGTTTAAACTGCCCTTTGAATCTTAGGATAATTGCCAGTATCTATCTATTAAAATACATCAATGATTTTATTATTTTAATAATTAATATACTTTAAAAAATATTCTTGTACTTCATCCAAAGTCAGTGAGATTGAGGCTTTCTAAAAATGCTGTAAAGTGAAATAAACGTAAGTAACTATTAAGACATGGAAGAAAAGAATACAATAAAAAAATGGAACAAGTAGGAGAGATCATAGAATGCACAGTGCTACAGTTATTTGGGTTTTTATTTTTAGAACAATCATGTACGAGTTTGGTTTAACAAAAATAGAACGTCCAGTCATTTTGTTTAAAGTACACAATCAACAGTGGCTGGCAATGATAGGTATTGCCAAGTCCCACAACTCAACAGGGAAGCCCGTCAGAGTTTCCAGAGCTCCTTAAAGTCTCCCTCCTCTTCTTCTTTGCTGTCTGTTCTCATAACCATGCTAATCATGAAAGCAAATGGAACAACAAGAAGGAGCAGAAGCCATGATCTCCCTGGCCCTCTTTCTCTGGGGGAGAGTGCTACAAATTAGGCCTAGAGGGAGATTCCCAGTGGAAATAACAAGAGTGAAATTAATCCTACTCAGAGGACAGAAAAAGAGAAGCCGGCACATCATTTGACCAGGAAGAACAGCAGTAGGAGTTAACTGGAGAAGGAGGCTTTCTGCTAGAAGAAGTAGACTAAAGACTGTAAGCAGTTTATATAATTCAGCTGCTGCAAATAAACAAACTTATTGTTCTTTAAAGTCCCAGGCAAGTTTATGAAGCACAAACAATAATAGCAAGTGGGTGGAGCCATCTAGGGATACTGTATTTAAGATGCCATTCATGAAGGGTCTGTTCTCTACCCAGTATAGACCTGACATTTCAGAAATCTCCTCAAAATATTTATTTGCAAAGTCTATGTAATAGCTTCACTCATATTCCTCAACTTATAAGAGTCCTCCATACTTCTTTGACAGAATGTGAAAAAGTCTAGGGTTGAATCCTTGACATCTCTCTCTGAATCCTAACAATAGCCCTCATTTTTTTTTATACTTAAAGTAGCTAATTTTTGTTTTAAATAATCTGAAGTGCCACATTGGACTTCTATAAACCTTCCCCACAAAACAAAGTGTATTCTAAACCTGCACTGATTATTCTTCTAGTAATAATAATCAAGTCATTAACACTGAAAATTATTCAGAAAAAATGCTTTGGATATTGCACAAAGGTGAATATGACATCTCTCTGCTATTTCATTAAAACAAAACCTGTTTTTTCTCCCCAAGAGCCTGAAAAAAAAGGTGCTGCCACTTTAAAAATCACAATAAAGGTGCTGCACTCATTTGGGGTCAAAAGCACAGTCATACAATAATTACAGTCTCTGTGCTTAGCGGACACTTTTACTGATATGCATAAGCAGTTTTAAGATTTTCTGAGATCTTCTGCAAATAGGCTATTTTTTGCAGTTTTTCCAATATTTACCTATAAATAAATGCCACTCGTCTTAAAACTAGCTGGTTTTTCTTTTCCAAAAGGATGGCTTCCTAGGACATTTGTTTGTGCTAGAACTGTTTAGAACTGCAAGCCCTGATTAACTATGAATTCCTTACCTCCCATTTATTTCTTTGTCAGTTCCTGACTTCTGGGAATGGATGCTGATTATGACCATAAATGGCATCAAGCCAGTGTGCCTTTCCAACCCCTCAGCTGGTGCCCAGCTATTTCTCTGCACTGCCCAGCTTTTATACAGGAAAGGGAACTAGGAGGAGAACAAACAGAGTCTACACAATCAGGAACACAGCCAGACGTTTTGGGGAACTCCTTGTACCTAGAAAATGTTTCCTTGGACCTGCCATTGGGGCAGCTCCGCTGGAATAGATAAGGGCAATGGTTTGTCCTTTCTCTTTAAAGAGAGCAGAGATGGCACAGTAAAGTATCACACTAGCTCTGTTTCTGGAAGTATGGTTTGCTTCTTATGGAGGAGGAAAAAGACACTATAACTCTCTTCAGTTGGCTGGAATAATAATTAAAAAAAAACCAAACTCCTCCTAGAAGGATGACAGGAAGGCAGACTTTGAACGTTTATCTCTGTCCTCTCCACGTTGACAGAAAAGGCCTGCAATAAGAATGGAGCTATATAATACACTTTCCCTGGGAAACAAGAATGCCACACTATCAAGGTGTCAGGTCCCAGTGAGGAAGGTAACTGCATTGAGCTGAATATCATCACATACGTTTGACATACCCCATCAACATGTTAAGGCTGGGGGTAGAAGAATTAGAATAAGGACACGTGTCCAGCCTCCCTTCCATGGGATCTTTCCCCTTCTCATTGTACAGAAGTCAGTGGGCACCTCTCATTTTCTCTGTACCCATTTTTCCCCTCTGAAAGTCTAAAAAGGGCTCAGATGAGAAATGAAGGATGTGAAAGTAAGTAAGCTCATTGCCTCTTCTAAACAGCTGTCCTCAGCAATCATACAGAGGGAGATACAGTCTGATTATTTGTCTTTCAGGCCTGGAGCTATGTGTTTTCAGATTTTCAGTCTTTGCCACCTTCATTAGAAATAGCTCATCTTTTCAAATATTAAATATCCTAATGATCTTTGTAATCTTCCTGAGTTAATTGCCCTTTTATACTGAAGTGGAACAGGAATGGTGAGCTAGAAAAATGCGGCAAAAGATATTACTTCTGTTTATGGCCAAATGCAAAGTTTCCCCATCCTAAATAAACATAAGGGAAAATAAGTGCTTAAAATGTTCAGAATATTAGAACAAGCAAATGGCAATATGCCTAAGAAAACTAGGGTAGCTCTAGCTCTTCCCTGCCTGTCTGATTAGATCAGTATTAAAATAGTCTTTGAGAATATTTGGTACAGCTCACTTTGGTTTTACTGAAGATTATAAGTTAGGTATACAGATTTATTCTCCCTGAAGAGAACCTTTCTGATTTGTTAACATACTTCCTGCTGAGTCATGTCAACTAGCACACAGGGCCCTGTAATAGTTTTGCCAGACTCTTAGCTTCCCAAAAGAGAGTTAACATTTCTGAAGTGCACATTCAGCATCTTTTATTTCAGGTTTTCCTGCTACTGACACAAACATGGCGCTTTTGGTGAGGCTCTGATAAAGCAACGGGTGGGATTCATGTAAATTTAGCTCCTGTGTAATTTCCTTTAAAAAAAGGTATCTTTTTAAACATACGTCTTAAAATAGTTCATGAGAATACTGTAGTTATAACCAGAGACAAAATGACAGTGATAACCAGTAGTACGCTTAACGTTCTTTAGTATGGTGGATATGCAAAAAGCTAACGGCCCCTTCTAAAAGTAAAGAGATTTTGATGGACTTCCTTAGAGAAGGAAGTCCATGTTGACAGGATTCACAAAAATAGGTCTAATTCCAAATTCAGATTGGAGCAGAAGAAAATCTAAGAGGTCAGAAAGGTTGAAAAACACTTATTTGTCTTTTTTCCTATTGTCTTGGAAATTCTTTTGTTCTTGTTGTTGAAAATTACATTTTCTACTATTATTGCATGTCAGAAAAGTTAGACTTCTTTTCTTGTTTGTACGAATCAAAATAATTCTTGCAACTGATATAAAAGAACCCTTATATCAGACATGGCATTATTGAAACCTTCCCCAACCTGGCATCTTCTACAAATGTTGGTCTTAGGAATATTTCTTTTCCATAGCAGTTAAAACATGTAGATTGTATGCCAGAGAATGTTGTGTTCCTATAATTCATCTTTCCATGAGGAAGAGGCGTTCAGGCACCAGTGATGGGGCAGAATGAGGCCCCGCTGTCCCTGATTCAATTCCCAGAGATTCAGACCCCAATCCACCTACCTACCCGCCTATCCACCCCACAGATATGCTGTTTCCTTCATATGGAAAGCCAGAGAGCACAGAGATGGAGGAGCGCTCAACCACATGAGGAGGCCAGATGCTCTGCTTGGGAGTAGGCTGTTCTACTGCAGCTTGGCTCTTGTAATCAGAGCTGACTGATTCCATCCTCCTTAGACAGAGAGATTGGAAGAGCCCTGAATTTAAGGCACTCCCTGAGTACTATACAGTAATGGAACAATTTCTGTGACACCTTATATACTATGTAGCTTGTTTCTAATTTCAGTGTTAGTCTCCTTGGAAATCCTGACACTTTCTGCCTCGCTGTCAGCAAGAAACTTCTGTTTATCTTGAACTTGGACTAGTCTCTGAGTACAGCTTCTTTTTTAATTTATATTATAAGTGTTTCTACCCCAGTTAAACAATCTTGCCCAAGCCTTGTGGGCTGAGACAGACGAGGATATATTTTTATAGAAAAGTCATTCTGTTCTGCAGATGGAAATATATCTTGGAACAACTCCAAACAGAACAAACTGGAAGTGTATGGGAAGGAACGTACAAAACCAGGA